GAATGGATGCACCCACCACGCCTTCGTCGTCGGCACGCTCGTTGAGCATCGACCCTTCGCCGATCCTCGCGCCTCCGTTCGCCTTGGACTTGGGTCCGTTCGACGAAATCGACGTGGGCACCCCCGAGCCACTCCCACCGCCAACGCCTCCTCCAGCAAGGCCAGAGCTGGGCGCCATGGGCCAGCATGCAAACTCCTCGAGAATGTCGTCCGCCTTTTGGAACGCTGACTCGCGCGCTTCGTACGAGAGGTGGTTGAGCGCGTTCTCGAGCACGTTGGCCGAAAACGAGCAGCAGAGCAGGCACAGCGCACGCGTGACGCGCAGTGCAACGGGTCGTCCACTCGACGAGGCATCCTCCTTGTAGAAGGTGCCTGCGTGCACGCTGGGCGAATTCGAGGTGAGAAGCGTGAGCACCCGCCGCAACACGGCATCCTTGCAGCTCGTGTCGTTGAGCGGATGCGTGGCCATGTCGAACAGCAAGAAGTTGCGCTTCTCGGTGCGCAGGATGCCCTTGTCCACCAGCCCCTTGGCCAGCCGCTCGCGCACCTGCTTGAGCTGGTACCCGATCTTCATCACGTTCCACGTCTCGCCTGCAAGCACGAGCCGAAATGCATCAACAGGTCAGTACGAGAGACAAGGTCATGTCCAGCAGGATGTAGGGCAGGACTTACCGCTCATGAGATCGACCCACTGGGCAACGGACATGCGCTCGCTCGCCTTCATCATCTTGAGCGCCTCGTCGAGCAGCACTTCTCCGGTCATCTTTGCGTCGATGACGTCGACCATTCGCTCGGTGAGGCCGAAGCGCTTGCGCATGGGGTCCTTGGTGATGGCAATGCGGCGTCGAAGCGCGAGCTCGATGAGTATGCATCCGCGGAGCGTGTAAGAGATGTTGTCGTTCCAGAACGAGAGGTAGCCCTGTCTGTCCTTGAGACCGAGCAGCAAGATCTCCTCCATGAGCGTCAGGCGCGGATTCTCGCCGATCTCGCGCTCGTCATTGAGGTCGCGCGGGTCGTAGGCTACGCGATGACCTGTGGACTCGTCGTATGTGGTCACGGAGCCAGTTGCCGAACGAGACCCATAGGCGGATGCGGGGATGCCAGCGGCGCTGCGTGTTGGCGTCGAGGAGCCGGCGGGGGCGGGCGAGCCGGTGCGCGAAGGTGTGTAGTCGTCGTCGTCGATGCGGCTGGCGGATGTGCTGGGACCGGCGGCGGCGGTAGCGGCTCCTGCACCGCGTCGCCTCTGGAGGCCACTGCTCTGTGTCGATGCCATGCTGGGAAGACTGACGCGAACGCAGCTGAGGCGAGATGGGTGACCGCTGCAACGAAAAAGGAAGGGCTGAGAAGATGGCGCTTGCGACGGCTGTCAACGACGCTGCCGGAAGGGAGCCGACAGGACGAAGTGCAGACGTGACGGTTGGAAAGGATCTCGGACAATCCCAACACCTCGGCGATGCCGACAGCCAACAGCAGCGTCACGACTCGCTCGGATGGCTTTGGCTCAAGCTTGCGCAGGGGTGCCTGGAAGAAGCGCACGCCTGGATGGGTTTGAGCTTTGCGTTGCGCCACCACGCGGTGGGTCCGCCGCCCCTGTCCTGTTTCCGCACTCTCGAGCGCTCCCCACAGTTGTTAAGCTCAAACTGCCCTGTGCGTAGCAACGACGCGCTCTTAGTCGGCCGGATATCTGAGGAAACAGGGTCTGCAGGTGGAGCCGCTCCACCTCGGATTTTGATTTTTTGGGCTTCTGGTTGTGTGTGGTTCTTCTTGCGAAAGAGAAGCTCCTCCTCCCAACCGCATCCAAAACTGCGATCGACCACCGTATCTGTGCAGCTCTGTCTGACAGTACTGGGAGGGAATGTCGTCCAAGAAACGTTCAGCGCCGCCAGCGGAGCCTGGGCCGTCGGCATCGCAGGGCATGTCAACCGCACAGTCCGGCCGCGACCAGCAGCAGGCACAGAACTGGAAGAAGCGCAAGCAGGAGCGAGCGCATACCGCCCGCTTCATCGAGACGCAGACCTCGAAGGTTGCTTCTTCTGCCAGCAGCTCGCGCAACACTTCCAAGTCTTTGACGCCTGTCCCCACTCAGCTCGCCGCTGCGGCCGCGGGTCTGCCAACCAGCATCGAGCTCGAGTCTCTCGTCTCGTCGCGCGCCTTCCAGATCCAGAGCTTTCTGCGCTCGATAAAGTCGGCCAAGTCGGCAACTACGACAAGAGCATGGCAGCTGCTTCCACGACATGCACGCCGGCGTGCTGCTTCCCACAACCTTCTCCGCCTTCCCACCCGCCTCCGCTCCAAGGCGCTCGCCGAGCTTCGCAGCAGCACAACACAGGCCCGCACACGCTCGGACATCAGGAAACGGCTTCCCAGCTACGGCGTCATTCGAGCTACACTACGCCGCAAGAAACTAGCCGAGCGGGCCTCGCATCCGCAACGGCGGTGGCTCGAGACGCATCTTTGGCACGCCAAGCGCTTCAGGATGACCACCGAAAAGGGCAAGGGCAAGGAGCGCGACCAGGGTACCGAGCACAACAGGTGGGGTTTCGTGCTTCCAGAAACGACCATGATGAAGAGCCATCGAGCAAGCTGGCGTAGCGCACTCGAGTTCGTCACTCTCCACGATACAAGCTACTTTTCGGTCTTCCGTTTGGGCGTGAGGCAAGCGCAAGCGTCCACCGCTGATGGCGTCTCGGCGGCTCTTGCAGAGCAATTGCACCAAGTTCTCGCCAAAGTTGGTCTCGCGGAGGCTGCAGAGCTGAAGCCGGAAGATATAGCCGAGTCGCATCGCGTCATCGACACTGTTCTCGTCCGACCCACGTCCGATTCAACGAGCCGTACCAAATCGGAAAAGGATACCGTAGCCGCCGCTCTTGCTCCCGTTCGAGTCGTGATCCTCTCGGGCACGCGGCAGTTCGAACGCCCGTCTTTGGATCAGAGCACGACGTACATCCACAGCTGCAAGGAGGCACTCCTCATTGTCCACCCGGCCGCCGACATTTACGTTCGTCGAGCTCTCAAGGCCGCCAGCATGACGATGGTCGACGAGAACAAGAACGCGCTCTTCGACCTCGAGCTTCCAGCGCCCGGCGTGATGCAGGCGTACGCGTTCCAGCTCGACTCCACACCCGACCCGTGGCTTGCAGCAGGAGGCAAAGACAGCTCCCTCTCCAAGCTCGAGAAGAAACGCAGAAGGCGCGCTTACCAAACCGGCTCCGCTAAGAGCGACGAGGTCGGGTCTTCGACTAAGCGGCCGCACGAAACGTTGCTGCTCGACGACAAGGCAGAGCGCAAACGCAAGCATGGATTCAACATCTTCGAACTCGTAGGGCCGAGAGCCGCTTCACTGCTCCGGAGCGTGCTCAAGTGCCAGGACGGGGCCGAGGGCAATGCGGACGGCTTGAGGTTGCGGCAAATGCTTGAAAAGCACAGCAAGACATCACAAAGAGACAGTCCCGAGATGGTGCAGGTGCGGGTGAGCGATCCTCGACTCTCGTATCCGCCCAAACTGAATCCTGTGGCGACGACACAGTGCTCCGCAGGGGACCCGGCCAAAGCGACTGGCGATGCAGACTCACACCGGGACGACCTGTTCTGGACAGGAGCGCAACCACCTACATTCAGCAAAGGCGAGATCGACTCGCGCCGCGCGCTGAATGCGATACCCGGTGCTCGGCTGCAGCCCGACTCGCGCGATGATGTCGTCCCCGTCGTGGTGATGCGCGACCGGCTTGCCGGCAAGGTGGATCGATACATGCTGGTGGTGCCTCGCGGCTGGGGTACTGCATTCTTCCTCTCGCTCGTGGCCACGCACCAATCGGGCGCTTCGAGCGGAGCGCGAGTGCTCGGCCAGCACCAGCTGCGACACCAGAAGTTGGAGCTGGCTGCGCAGGCACAGGCAGCGGGCGAGCATGCGGCAGCGAGCATGCTGAGCTACCCGCACAACTGGCTTGGCACTCGTGCATACGCGGATAGCGAGATATGGGCCGAAGCCGCGCGGTATGAGCAGTGGAGTCGGAGACCCAAAGGCAAACGTGCAGAGTTCGCGTTTGCGTCTCACAAAGACTGGGTTGCGTTCCAGCAGAGCAAGACGGCGGAGGAGATCGAGGCGAAGCTGGCGCTCGATCGAACAGGCGTCGCGAGGCCGTATCCGTTCGGAGGCTCGCATCACTGGGAGTGGATCGTTGGCAATTCTCAGCGCCTGTTTGCCGGAGGCAAGGAGGTCGAGAACGTCCTGCCGTGGTTGGTAGCGCAGCCTGATGTTGACCTGACGCGTGTCGCAGGGATCGAGGCGAGGCTTTCGGCGTCGAGTCTGGCCTCGGCCATGGTTGCGGTCAAGCTGCAGGCGGTGCGCAAGGGCACCGTGACGGCATTAAGCAGTCTCATGTTGGCACCTACGTTCGAGGAGCATTTGCACTGGGTGCATCATCTCGACCCCGTCCACCACCCTGCCTTGGTTCGCAATCGCACCGCAGCGGCAGGCGACAAGATGGACAAGCAGTATCTCAAAGCGTTGGTCGAGCGCAGGTGCAAGGTGATGCAGCTCGGTGGCGGTGCTCCTGCACAGTCGATCAAGTTCAAGCCGATCAGCGGCGTGTGGCGCGAGTACACGTTCGCCGCCATGGAGCCCGAGGAGATGCACGAGCGCAGTGCGAACTGGAACAATGCGGTCGGCACCGTGCTGGACGGCGACTATTCGCTCAGCAACGGCAGAGGGTTCGGTGTTGGTGCCCTCACGCTGCGCGCATGGATGGGGCTAACAGAGTGGCAGGAGAGGATGGACAAACAGCGAGACGGCGAGGCTGCGACGACGAGGAGACCGCGCAACGCGGTCGAGACGCGCAACTTGCTGCTCGTGCGCGAGCCGGGCTCCAACGTTGTCCGCCCCGTCAGCGCGACACTTGTACCTCTTGTGTAATCTAGATAGCCTTCCATACGAAACGTCAGTGCTGGTGGTGTTGAATTCCGAGAGTGAGCGTTGATTCTGTCTGCATTGCCGAGCATGCTTAAGCTGGTGGTGGAGATGCTGCCGCTCTGTCTGACTGTTCCATATCTCTTAGCAGCTGCTCTCTCCTCTTTCTGCGTTCCTCTAGTTTAAGCTGAATGTACTCGTCCTTCCACTTTTCGATCTCCTTTTCGCTCGCCACGATGCCCTTCTTTCCAAGCTCGGCCCGCGCACGGCTGCGCACCATATTCTCCTCGCTGCGCTGCTGCGACTCATGGCTGAGCAGCACCGTATCCGCGCCCACGACAAAGCCAAAGATCGTCGCGCCCGATGTGAGGAATCCCTTCAGCGCGAGAGTTTGTCGCCGAAACCCAGGGAAGAGGTGGTGTGCCATGAAACATGTCGACGCTCCAAGTGCCGTGTACAACAATGCGCCTTTCATTGCCGCATTCTGTGAAAGCAGATCCAAGGTGTGAGCGTATAGCCAGGCAGACTGTGACGAGACGAGATGAACTTACACGTTGGAGCTCGTAGGCCGACTCGATCTGTTCCTCACGGTGTCGCACACGCTTGGGAGCCGAACCGAGCGTAGAGGTGCTGAGCGCCGACAGCGGCGGCTCGTTCGCAGCGGCCTGTGCGCCAGACGTCGATGGCTGTCCCGACATGGTGATCGAGACGCAACAGCTTCCGAGTGCTCCGAAACGAGAGAATGAGGTGGGTGGGTGTTGTTCCAAAGCGACGGTGGGATCGCTCGCCTGACCGAGACGCATGCACGGCTGGTGCGGCTGTTGTGTAAGAAGAGAGGGAGTGGAGGCATATTCGGGATTGGCAGCCCCGCTCAATGCTGACATAAGCGTGACAGTGATCAGAGCGCTGTCGTGCTGGCTCAGGGTTCAGTTTTTACGCGCCCAAACTTTTTCCCTTCGGCTGGGTCCGCTTCGCGCTGCACAGCCAAATTTCAGAAGATCAAAAGGACCCTTTTTTCCGTTGCCGGTGGCGCAAAACCGCTGGCCAAGCTATTCGGCACTCCCGCGCTGGTCTTTCCCCTTCACACCAACAGCATCTGATCACAGAGTGGCACCTCCATCACTCTGAGGCGCCATATACAAACCACTTTCAGATCCCAACAGGCGGTTTCGCAGCATCCATAACGGCATCGAGCTGTCGAAGGTCTCGTTTCGAAATAACACGCTGCCACCACTTCCATAGATAAGCGGGCCTCCGAAGCCAAAGCACATAAAGATGCCCCAGGTTCCACCGATCTCCACGTCTGCGGCAGCCGACGACGCGCTGCGCAACACGTTCCAGATCGTGCATGCCTTCCTCGCTGAGCATGCTCCCAATGCCGCTGCGCAGCTCGCTGCCACCCTGCCCGACTCCCCCGCCCCGCCCAGGACCCTCGCTTCTGCCCTCGTAGACCACGTCCGCAACTCGCCAAGGAGGTCCTGGCCCGGTCTGGCCGCCCAGGCAGCCGTTCCGTCCCCGCCAGCTCCTATGGATGAGGACAGCGACTCTGACTCGTCTTCTTCCGACTCCAGCTCGAGCTCGAGCTCTAGCTCGAGCTCGAGCTCTAGCTCCTCTTCCGATTCGGATTCGGATTCGGACTCGAGCGACAGCGACAGCGACAGCGACTCAAGTGACGATGACAGCGACGACAGCGACTCGGAGGAAGACAAGAAGGTCAAGGCGACCAAGAACGAGCAGCCCCACCAGGACCACGAGGCTGCTTCTTCCACCGTCGTCTCGGATTCGCAGGACGAGGCAGAGGCAGAGCTTCCCAGCAAGGGCATCGCCACGCCCACAGGCGCCTCCTCGGCTGGTGCATCGGTCTCGGCTTTGGCGAGCACTAACAAGCGCAAGCGCGCAGCTTCTACGTCTTCCTCGGATTCGGACTCGGACTCGGACGACAGCGACGACGAGAGCAGCGACAGTGACAGCAGCAGCGACGAGGACAGTGACGACGACTCCAGCGACTCGGACTCGGACTCAGACGACAGCGATAGCGATAGCGATGACGATGACGAAAAGGAGGAGGCGACCGTGAAGAAGGTCGAGACCGTCGTGGTCGAGGTTGCCTCTTCCGACTCGAACTCTGATTCGGATTCGGATTCCGACTCGAGCGACTCGAGCTCTGATTCCGACTCGGAATCGGACTCGGACTCGGACTCGTCGAGCGACGAAGAGGTGGCAGCCAAGGTCTCGGCCCCGAATGGCGACGGCGACGACAGCAGCTCTTCCGACAGCTCTGACTCCTCCGACTCCGACTCTGACTCGGACTCTGGCTCCGACTCTGACTCGAGCTCGGGTAGCAGCAGCAGCGCTTCCTCTTCCTCCTCGGAATCCGGCGATGAGAGCGACAGCTCTTCTGACTCGTCGTCTTCCAGCTCCAGCAGCAGCAGCAGCGGCTCGGACTCCTCGTCTCCGTCTCCAAAGGGCCCTCCTGCGAAGCGTCAGAAGACCGACCCTGAAGTCGCCGCCGCCGCCGCCACCGCCGTTGCTGCTGCATCTGTTGCTCCTGCCGCTTCCACCAGCACACCTTCTCGCCCTGCGCCGCCGGCGCCTGCCACGGCCTCGGGTCGCAAGCCAGTCGGCCAGAACACGCCGTTCCAGCGCGTCAAGGCGGATCAGGTGACGTACCTGGACGACCGCATGAAGGACATGTCGTATGCGGGCATCGGTCTCAACGGCGACGAGTACGGCGCGCGCGCCAGCCGCGACCTCATCGTCACGCGCGGAAAGGGCTTCACAAAGGAGAAGAACAAGAAGAAGCGCGGTTCGTACCGCGGAGGCGCCATCGACGTCTACGGCTCCCACAGCATCAAGTTTGACGACGACGACTAAGGCTTCCGCTGCGCTTGGTTCCAGACCGCATTGCAATGCATCCCTTAGACTTCTGATATTTTCTAGGCGATTGTGGGCTGGGGATCGAGCAGGGTTGGTTTTGTGGTGGATCAGAGCTTTCCGAGACGCGAGGCGCCGTCGAGACGGATGTAGGAGCCGTTCTGTGCGGACGAAGGAAGCGAAGGTAAAAGTCAGAAGGATGTGTGAAATACTGTCTTGCAGGGCTGCGACTTACGAGCATGGGGTTCTCAATGACACTTTGGACCGAGAGGGCGAACTCGTCGGGGTGGCCGAACCTTGCCGGGAACTCGCACGTGCGGAGGATGGCCTGTCGAGCCCTCTTTGGCAGTTGGGCCATCATTGGGGTTTCGAACAGCGTGGGCACGAGCGTCATCACGCGGATACCGAACCATGCCAGATCCCTTGCCATGGGCAGAGTGAGAGAGAGCACGCCGCCTTTGCTGGCCGAGTAGGGGCACTGACCAGCCTGGCCTTCGAGTGCAGCTGCGGAAGCAGTGTTGATGATGACGCCCAGATCCTTGCTCTCCTCCGTGGGCTTAGGGATCGGCTTGGGCAGGTCACGCACCAGACGTGCAGCTGTAAGCCGCGATACATTGAACGTGCCAATGAGGTTGATCTCCACCGTACGGCGGAATACGTCGAGGTCAAACGGCTCGCCCTCCTGGCTGATGATCTTTCCCGCCATACCCACGCCGCCGCAGTTGACACAGCCGCCGACGGGGATGTTGGGCCACAGCTTGTCCGACCCGGAAATGGCGGCTTGTACCGCGGCTTCATCGCAAACGTCTACCTCGAACGCAGCTGCTCGCTTGTCCCCGCCGCCGCGTGCGTTGAGATCGTCGGCCAGCTTCTGACCCTGCTCCAGCTGCAGATCCATGATCGACACGTAGGCACCCAGAGCGTGCAGGTGTGCGGCGGTGGCAGCACCCAGCCCAGACGCGCCGCCAGTGACGTAGTAGACGTGGCCCTTGACTTGCATTTTGGAGAGATGATCGAACTTATGGGAGGATGAAGGAGGAGGATGAAGGAGGAGGATGCGGGAGCAACGTGTGTGCAACCGGTGTGGAGAGGGTTCAACGGCGCTCCAGCTCAACCGGGTTCTCCACTGCACCGGCCCGGCTATTCACGCCACGCGTCTTTCCGAGCACCTCCATATTTCCCTCTTCCTTTGCCGTCGTCCTCCGCAAATCGTCAACCTCGTGACCCTTCTGCAAGGCTGTCAACACCACCTGACCGTACTCTCAGCATACAACACTCAAGCCGGCACAAAAGGTGAAAGAAAAGACTGGCCATTTTCGAAACATGCAAAAAGAAAGAAGAGGGGGCAGAAGGAATGTGAAGGTGGAACCCGGCGAAGAAGATGAGGAGCCGGGGAGGCGATCGAGACACCAAGCCTAAGCATAGCAGCGCAAGATCGACCTAAAGAGAGTGAAGTCAAGAGCAAAGGGGGAAGCAAAGAGACCAAAGACGAGACGAGACACAACTGATCGCCACACTGCTTAGTTGGCGTCGGCGTCGCCGTTCTGGTTGGGCGCGTAGCCAGCAGGCTTGCTGTCGGCACCGTTGTCAGCGGGGGCATCGTCCGAGTCGTCCGAGTCGTCCGAGTCCTGGTTGCCAGAGTCAGGCGAGTTCTTGGACGCATCGCCGTTCTTGCCGGCATCCTTGCCCTTCTCGCAGTCGTCACCAGCCGGCTTGCTCGCATCGCCCTTGTCGGCAGGAGCGCCACCAGACTTGTCAGCATCGCCGTTCTGGTCAGGAGCGTAGCCAGCAGGCTTGCTCGAGTCGCCGTTGTCCGCGGGCGCATCGTCAGA